GACAAACATGCAAAAAAATAAGAAATCAAGAAGGGGGCCAACACTTTTTCACACCACTGTAAGTCTATACACAGCATTAAGTTAAATTACATAAGTGACTAATTAAATTACAGAAAAAAATAAGAGTAATCCCTTATTTTACTTTTTCAAAGAAAAAGTAATTAAATTACAGTAATTACTTAGTAACTAGTTACATTGCTTATTCGAAAAGTGAACATTTGAACATACATCAGCGATAAGGAAGATAAGAACTACCTAAAATGAAAAAAACAACAACAAAACAAACAAAAAAAACTTGGCGTCATTTGATTTTTTAGTTTGGCTCACATCCCATTCGTTTACATGGAGAGAGCGAGAGAGAGGTTTTTGACATATATAAAGCCACTATGGGGTGATCGGAATGTTTGACTTCACTTTTCAGGACATGTGTGGCATATTTGAGTCTATGTCGATACTGTTCATCAAACTGCTATTAAATTATGAGATGCTTTCAAAGCAAATAAGTAATGCTCCAGGAGGGGCCAAGGATAGCAGAATATCTCAGACTCAGAACATTACTCAGAACTCTGATTTTTAGAAAACGAAAACAACAGAAGGGGTACTGGGAAAAAAACATGATTTTGCATGAGTTTAATTTGGAACTCACAAAATGAGTTCAGACGAGATGGGGACAAGAACATAATTTGGCTTGGCGGCAAATACAAATAAGGATTTGACCGGTCAAAGGCTTAGTCATCTGGAGATGCATGATAGTTCATGCAACAAATGTATATTTATATAAAACAACAGTAGATTACCAAGGTTTTCAAGTCCATTATGGTTTATTAGAGTGGCACTCAGATCCACTTCCTCAATTTGTGCATCAGGTGTGTTCATGAAGTCATAGCTGAATCTTCCTCTAGAGTCTGGACGAAACCATTCGGACTGGCCAGCAAATCTATAGACACAAGCATTACGCAATGGAGACAATTTAACAATGTCTACTTACAGGAAGGAAGACACTGAATGAGTCAATGACATAAAAGTGGGTGTTTGTATGGTTCTGGAAAATAAAAACACCATGAATTTTAATACCATTATTATTTTATGGATTTATTGACTGCATGGGTTCTCTCTAATATATTATTTCCTGCTTTTTTCTTTTGTAGAATTGTATTATTTTTTTCTTCATTATGACAACAGGACATTATGTACCACTGACACTTCTGACCTCAATTCGGTTTAACTCAGATTTTAAAAACAGGCTCAGCATAAAAGGTGCATTCAATTAATTAATGTATGATGTTTTAAAGTGCCCCTATTATGGGTACTGAAAGGTTCATATTTTGGTTTTGGGAGTCCCCAACAACAGGTTGACATGCATGCAAGGTCAAAAAACACTTTCATTGTCTTATAATATGCATTTATTTTTACTTTACTTGTTTAACGACTCCCAAACGATTTGCTTGACGATTCATTTTTCCAAACCCCTCCTTTGCTTGACGCTAATCTGCGATGATTGGTTTGATTGGTCTCATTTTCATCTCATCTTGCCTGTAATGCCTGATAAAGCAGCGTTTGTGAGCGCAGTGCTGCTTTGTTTACAGCCGTTACCAGGGAAACCGCTATTTTACCGCTCCTAAAGCGGCAACTAGTGGCAAAGAATGAATTTACATTTTCATTCAGACCAACCCGAAAAGACCAACAAGTGGGCGGGCAATATGCTAATGTTTCATGTTGACATCAACATGAAACGGCTTGGGATTCGTTTAAAAACGACTCGTTTTAATGATTCAGAGTCGACTCTTTCTTAGGCCTGTCGCAATAATCAATATATCGACTTATCGCGCAATACATATACATGACCTCAATCATTTTTGGTGACGCAATATATGACCCATTATATTTACTTAAAAATTAATGTCACCATGTTTTGTACAGTGTCTTTTGCAGCTTCTCGTACATAACGTGGTGTAGTCATGAGGTACTAGTTCAAATTTAAAAAATGCTTCTACAAAGTTTCATATGCAGATATGGCCTTGTTTAGGGATCTGTGCCTTTGTGCATACGCACATCTGACTGCTAAGTAGTGATTGTGTTTTTCAGCAATAGTGTGCACGCTAAATTTACAGAGAAAAGAAGTTCAGGAAAAAATCTGTAGATGGAAAAATCTCCATACAAGTTCTTTGTGCATTTTTCTTTTTTTGTACTTGTTACTTTGCACTTTTTGTTAGAAAATGTTTATTTACTATTTATTCAGGTTTTTTAAGGTATCTTATATTTTGATACTTAATTTCCATGATGTAAACATTCTTAAAAATTTAAAGTTTGTTGTCATTTGGAAGTGTGTAGGCCTTCTTGCATTATTATGCTGTTACTTCAAAGGGGTCATTTGATGCGTTTTCAAGTTTTCCTTTCTCTTTGGAGTGTTACATAGGAGAGGAGGTAATTCTGACTTTGCTATGACAATCTGGCGCTTCTGAATCAGCTACTGTTTTGTTATTAGTTTAAATATTTGCTATTGACTGTTGATTCGTTCATTCATTTGCTATTGATCATGTGTGTGTGTGCGTGAGAGCGAGAGAGAGAGAGATAGAGAGAGAGAGAGAGAGAGAGAGAGAGAAAGAGAGAAAGAGAGAGAGAGCACGAGAGCGCGAGAGAGAGAGGGGGGGGGGTCACATCACAAACACATACCAGCTTCATCACTGTGTCTGTCACGTGACTCTGTTCCCCTTTCAGGCTGTCTTTACATTTATTTTGAAAGATGAAGCTCGCGATTATGGTAAGGGGAGTTACATTTACGACGAGTGCTTGCGGTGTTCGGTCAATCACAATGCACTGGGTCAGCTGGCCAATCAGAGCAGACTGCGCTTGTCGGAAGGAGGGACGAAGCGTTTGAGAGAGGCGGGGCATAGAGGACCTACAATAATGTACAGTATTTGAAAAATAAGGTGTTTTTTGAACAATAAAGCATGTCAACATATTCTGTTACACCAAATACACAAAATAATGATCTTTAAAAAAAGCATCATATGACCCCTTTAAAAATGGCAATAATATCGCTTATCGCAATTATTTCTGGGGCAATATATCGCACAACAAAAAGTTGTTATCGTGACAGGCCTACTCTTTCTTTTGAGAGACAATAACTTTATACATGGTGCACTTTCAGATTTAAAACTTTGCAGGGTGTTTTCATTCACTTAGGGCTGTGCTACACACTGCATGAAAGGTAATTTTCAAAAATCCATAATAGGTGCACTTTAAAAAGATGATTTTTACCTGAAGCTCCCTCTGAGAGTCAGAATATAATAGGCTGCTGCAACATTCTTCCCAAAATTCTTCTGTGCATAACCAAATAACCTATATTAAAAAAAGAACTCAACATCAACATCTCAGTAAAAAATAAATAAGCAAATAAATAAAAATTACATTATGTGATTATAGAGACACTATAAAGAGCACAGGACACCACAACATCCAGACACAAAAACAGTTTCTTGTCACAGGCAATCTCAATGCATTAGTTGTCAGTTAGCAGAGCCACTTAAAGTTTTACTATATTATAGCATATTTCTACAGTGCAACATTCTATACAGCAATATGACAAAACAAATGAACACATCTGAGAACACATGCACTGACACTTACCTGTTTTTGCGTATGACCGCTTGTGACCTCAACCAGTCGTTCCAATCCAAAATGTTCTCCACATCATAGAAGTAGTGATTGAGTTTTAATAAGAACCTGGTGAAGACAGATGGAGTGGCAGCACCTGAACTCAAAGCCCTCCTGACAGCAACGGCTGCACAGGTGTGTGCTGAACATCTTTTCATGGCTTGAGACTTTCGAAAGAGACAGTTGGAAAATATAAAGCCATAAAGATAATTTACAAAATGCTGCTACTAAAAAGGTAAACAAGTTCTGGTCCCTTAAGGACATACAAGTGAAAATGCATATCCAGCTATCAACAACAATTTTCTAGAT